TCTATCTATCTATCTATCTATCTATCTATCTATCTATCTATCTATCTATCTATCTATCTATCTATCTATCTATCTATCTATCCATCCACCCAAACTCACACTTATCAGAATAACAGAGTTGGAAGGGACCTTGAAAGTCTTCTAGTTCAACCCCCCCAGCAGGATATCCTATACCTGTGATGGCAAACCTATGGTGGCACGCAGAGCCCTCTGTGGGCACGTACACCGTCGCCAGCTGCTCTTATGGTTTCTGGTGCACGCATGTTTTCTGGCCAGCTGTTCTTTGCAAGCATCGGAGCACAGGAGAATGGCCTGAAAATGCCCAAAAAACAGGCCATTTTCTCAGCCTTTTTAGGCCTTTTCAGGCCCGAAAAAACGGCCTAAAAATGGCCCGAAAAACAGAATGAAAAACCACCTGGAGAATGGTAAAAAAAACAGACTGTTTTTCGGGCCATTTTCGGGCAGTTTTGTGGGCCAAAAAAGGCCCGAAAACACCCCAAAAACGTCCATAATACAGGCATGCGTGCACCGGCTTCTGGTATTTTGGATCCATGCGCGTTCTGCTTTTGGCACTCAGTGCCGGAAAGGTTTGCCATCATTGTCTTATACCCTGTCAGGAAATCTCCAATCTCTTCTTTCAAACCTCCAGTGATGGATCCCTCCCAATTTCAGTTTGAGCCCAACAAATCAGTTTTGGGAGTCTTTGAATGCTTCAGAACATCAAAACGCCTCATGGATCAAATCAAAATCCTCTTAGGCGTCATCCACCATTACACTGAGGGAACTCTTGTACTTTTGAGGGCAGGTCTTCACAAAGAAGCTTCCATCTCAGTACCAATGTGTGGAAGGCTAGGCTGAAGATAAATCAGCATGATCTGATAGGGAAATGGTCTTTCCATGGGAAAATGGAAGAAAATCTTCCATGCCTGGATGCCACCTCAGGTGGAAATAGAGGCTTTGAAAAAACTGCTGGACTGTCCGCTGTGGGGTGGCCCTTCCCATGCAACCACTGGCTTCCATCCTCTATGGCAGTGTTTCTCAACCTTGGCAACTTGAAGATGTCCGGACTTCAACTCCCAGAATTCCTCAGCCAGCGACGGTAGGTGGGGACTTCTGGTCTTTTAAA